CCTGAATTATTATAATTTCTCTTTTATACTTCTCAAACCTATGCCGATTCAATTAACAAGGAAATTTAATCCACCTGTGGTCACAAATTTAATGATTATAGTATGAATTTCTTATTAAAGCATGTCTACAAAGTGGTTATAAATTATTTAAATTATATATAAAAGGAATGATTGACAAGTACTTCTACATTCCATAAAAATAAGAATAATGTTATTTTTAGTGAAAATTATTAATAGTTATCCAACGTGACATACATGTGGCAAATTATTATTTAATACACGAGGCAATAAAAAACTGCAACATATATATATCACATTGGACGACTGTCGATAGGTTCACTATAAATAACATTACTCTAAAAATAAACTTTTTTTTCTTTCGCTTGTCTCCAATTATAGTTATTTTCCTTGTTCACAGTATGGCTGATTTCTTAATTTTCTAATATATCAAATTTAATTTGTCTTGTTATTAACAAATGAGAACTATTCCTATTTAAATTATTATCCGATGTAAAAATATATTAAAAAATGTATGTAAAATTTATTGTTCCAACTATATTAACTACTCTATTCGTCTCATTTATATAGGCTGGCTTTCCTTATTTTATTTTATTTGTTTAGTTTGTGTTTCTTTTATTATGTTATGTCATACAAGTTTAATTTATTAGCTCTAGGGGAAGATGTGTCTTTATGGTGCTTTCCTCTTTTCATTAAAATACAAGAAAGGGTGGTTGGTGGGTAGTTGACATTCAAATAAGACATTAAATTTTTGGACTTTCTCTAGTTTTCAATATAAATTAATCCCGACATTCCATGGGATCAAAGAATTTTTTGATAGTATTAGTATATTCGTTCTCTAAATAAAGATTCTTCTATGTCATTTATCAACATGCGTAAAGCGTAACAACTCAACTCAACTGGTTAATCAATTGTATCTCGAAGGAATTGTTGTAAATTGATTTTTGTTTTCTCTAACATGTCCAATAAAATAAAATTGCTGTTTTTTTTTTATACGATATCGAAGGTATTTATTTGCAGCATCTAATTAATTGTTTGTTTTCAATTTAAAATAAAGAAATTTTTGATAAATACTATGCCTACGTTTGGAAATTTTTTAAATCAATCATAAGGAGGAATAATAGTGGATTTCATATATATCGTTAAATTAGTATTTGACTATGATTAAATTTATAAATCAATTTATAAATTGTATCCAAACGGACTCTATATATTGTCCAATTACTTATATTAGCCACACACATTATGTTAATACTAATTTGAGGAATTATTGTTAGTTAATTATCAAGCGAGTGCATGAAATACTTTCGAGTTCTTGCATGTCAACATCTTCGGGATTAAAGATCGGTCGGAGGTAAATAGTCCATTGATAATTGGCAAGGAAATCCAAATTTTATTATCGTGTTGCAAGCAAAAGAAAAATAAAAATAAAAAAGTTCTTTTTTTTTTTTAATTGAATGTGCTCGTTTATTTTGACTATTTTACTATATTTCGTAATAGTAATTTCGACTCTACTTTAGTGGAATCCATTTTTCGGGGAAGTCCGTTTAAATTATTTAGACCGTATTTGGGAAGATATGACCCATTACCTGTTTAAATTGGGTTCAAGTCTACATTTAGGCGATATTGACGAGAGTATGGATTTACTAGAGCTTCGATTCTTACGGACAAACTATGATGAACTATTAGATAAGGGTAGTGACTACATATGAGGATGAACATGAGCCAACAAAATATTACACACGTCACATTACGACGAAAAGTACCACAATGACACATGAGATATAGATATTGTTCTTTTACTCTCTAACTCCCATCTTTATTATAATTAATTTTTTTGGTATTGAATATTAGGTCTTATGTCTTCAACTTGTAATTTTTTTAAAATTGTTTTTGAATAAATACTCCATGCTCGTGGCGGTTTGAATTTTTCTTTAATTTTTTTTAAACACAAGCAAAAGAAATGAAATTTTACCAAAACAGTCAAATTTGAAACCACTCAACATGTTAGAATTGCGAATTTCTTAATAATGACCGAAGATGAAATCACAAAATAAGCAAAACACAAATTATTAACGATTCACCATCAAGGTGAAAGCTACATACTTTCACTTGGTCGTTGCAAGTGACACTCACATATACCTGAACTCTTGTAACATTTTGCGTAGCAAGAACATTAAGCCAATCTCCAGTCTAAATAAGACTCGCCCACCGGCACTTATCAATTAATATGCAATATCTCCTCCTACATGTACGTCCCTCTCACATAGGGGGGCTCAAGTCTATTCTTATTCACGTGCCCCCTCCTATGTGACGGGGGGTCATCCGAGGTGTCAACACTAAATGTACAAGTAACATTATTGTTAAAAAAATTAAATAAGTTGTAAATTCCATAAAAAGTGTGATTGAAAATGAGTTTAGGAAAAAAAAAAAAAGAATTGTAGATTATTGGAGCCGGTGGCATATTGTAATTACTGCAACATATCACCATGCTGCTGTACTCATTTACTCCTCCCCTAACCACCGTCTTCAGATGCCTATTAAATCATCTGCCACCCTTCATAAACCATACTTAATTCTTGTCCCTTTTCAACTTTCAACACTCTCTACAACTATAGCGTTTTCACGTGTAGTGCCGCGTCCCATTTTCTTGTTTCCATAAAAAAACACACAGTTACGATATGGCCGAGTACTCCGCATACTAAGCTTCTGCCACCCCATATAAAGCTTCCTCAAGTCTCAGTTTTTATCACCAATCAACACTCTCAACTCTCTCTCTCTCACACACACACACACACACAGTGTTACACTATGGCTGAATACTTTAGGTTTTATGGGTTTTGTGTGTTAAGTTGTTTACTGTTGAGTAGTGGGGCAGCTGGTGAGGAAGATGCATTTGCACCAGAAGCAGGAGTTAGTGACGGAAGGAGAGCTATGGTGCCTGCTATGTTCATTTTTGGAGATTCTCTCATTGATAATGGGAACAACAATAATCTGCCTTCTTTTGCCAAAGCCAACTATTTTCCTTATGGCATTGACTTCAATGGTGGACCGACCGGAAGGTTTTCCAATGGTTATACCATGGTTGATACAATTGGTAAGAACCGCTCGAGTTTTGTAGACAATACTTGAACTTCTTTTTCTTTCTTTATTATTGTATAGTACGGTCTATCTAACTTACAAACATACCATAAGTTTATGTTAGATATGTCATATTGGACATTACTAAAAAATATAATGAACAAGATTATCATATGTTAGGCAAGGCGGGTTAAATTTTTTTTTTTTCCTTAAATATTTTTCAATATGATGTAACAGTGCTTACTAAACATGCTCTAAAACAAACTTGCATGTTTATAACCAAATTCCAAGTTGTAAAACTTACTTGAAATCCCAAAACCAAATTGAATCACTTGTCTTTGATTTGCTTACTTTCTTCGTTGACTTGTTCTCACTTCTTGGTCGGAAACTCGATCATGCTGGAAGGAGTTTGATGTTCACAATCCAAGAATCAAATTTTTGAGATGTTATTCTTCTAAAAATCAAGCCACACACCTTATCTATTTTTCTCTCTATAGTGAAATCCGAATTTGCATTATTTCTCATGAAATCGGTGTAGTGGAAGTTGTACATGAAGTTATGGATCGTGGGAGGTTGAGTTTCAAATTCAATTCCTCCCTCCAAATCCCATTTCCATTCAATCCGGATCTGGTCAACCCACATGGGCGACCCCCTTTTTTTTTTCCAACACATCTTTTTGTCATGCATTTTTTTTGCTTTCACTTGTTGGGTACTTGGTACTAAGGGTATAACTGTTGTCTTGTTATATACGAATGCAGCTGAATTGCTTGGACTGCCTTTGATTCCTGCATACTCTGAAGCTAGATCTGGTGATCAAATGAGATATGGAATTAATTATGCCTCTGCTGCTGCTGGTATTCTTGATATTACAGGCAGAAACTTCGTGAGTACATTTAATTTGATGTTTTTCCCATTTTGGGAAATGACGGATCTCGATATAACTTGTCATAAAAGAGAGGGTAGACTAAAATTAACATAGTCGGTCGTAATTATTAAGGATCTTGTGTATATCTTTTAGTGCATCTAGCAATGAAAAGTTACATGTCATCTAAGTATTACTGCTGTCCGCCGTTTATGTCCTTTGCCGCTGCAAGACAACCTTGTAGAACCACAGATAATGTCTGGTTGTTTTTTGAATAAGAGTAGTAAAGTCAAGTAGTAGTGTTAAAGTTGGTCGAGCCAAATTTGGTTCGTGGATTGAACAGACTAAAAAATAGAAAAGTTGAATGTAAAATCTAAAAAAATTAATACGGATCCTTCTTAATCCACCATTGGACGAGATTATGGGACGAGACGAAGTCGACCCAACTCACCACAAAACCCTGGTTCAATTCAGCTTGCGCAGGCTAGGCGGTTAGACTTTTGAAGTCAACAAGTTAAAGAACCATAATATTACAAGCAATTAAGATAAGGAGTCGCTCAAACACTTATACATTATTTGTTTATTTTGTCTTTAATCGATGTGAATCTAACCCTTAACTATATATTCAACGTCAGGTTGGTCGGATTCCATTCAACCAGCAAATCCGAAACTTCGAGAACACACTCGATCAAATTACGGACAATCTTGGTGCCCCGGATGTGGCTCAGGCTCTTGCTAGGTGTATATTTTTTGTTGGGATGGGCAGCAATGACTACCTCAACAATTACCTTATGCCTAATTATCCTACTAAGAATCAGTATAATGCTCAACAATATGCAGATCTTTTGGTTCACCAGTACTCCCAACAACTCACGGTATCAAACTTAATTATTTGAAATCTAACATCAAAATTTGCACCACTTGTTGTCATCATATTTAAGAAAAAATTAACTTTTTAACAGATAAATAGATGGAATCCTTCCGTTGAACATTAACTTGCTAGAAACATGGTATACAGGGGCGGAGTCAACACCTGACTCGGCTGCCCCTGTTTGTTCCGCCGGAATTTTTATTTTTATTTTTCCTTACTTTGGATGCGCTCGCCTGGCTCCACCCTAGCTCACTTGGATTCTTTGATCTGCGTGCCACTAGGGTGAATTTTTTTTGAAAGAACAAAATATACATGAATTATGTATATATTAAAAAAAATTGAAAAATTTCTACGTAAAATGTTGTGGGGGCAGCAGTTGCCATCCCCATTGGCTAGGCCAATGTTGAGAAGCAATGGCCCAATTTTTCTCTTGTTTTTATTATCTCGATTCTCGACTTATGTTTTGAAATGAATGCAGAGACTATACAATCTTGGAGCTCGAAAATTTGTGATTGCAGGGCTTGGATTGATGGGTTGCATCCCAAGCATTCTTGCCCAAAGTTCAAATGGAATGTGCTCACAGGAAGTGAATCAACTTGTTCTTCCATTCAACACCAACACAAAGGCCATGATCAACCAGCTTAGCGCTAATCTACCGGGCTCTAAATTTTCTTATATCGACGTTAAAAATATGTTTCAAGATCTTCTGGCCAATGCTAGATTATATGGTATGTTCCTTTTAATTTGCGTCTTTAAGAATTTGGATTATTTTAATCATCTCTGAAGAATGTGTGGTTTAAAAGTAGGTTCAAATATGGGTTTTTATTGATAACATCATTTCAAATATAAGGGTGTTGCATAAGGGTTATCTGGGTGACGACGCTAGGCCGGGGAAAGTTCTTCGACAAGGCAAAGAAAGTCCCTTTTTTTAAAAAAATATATATTTTTTGAGTTAATTTAATTTCTATTGAGATTTTCAACAAAAGTTAACCATTTAATTCATTGTGGACCAATGACGCTACAAAAACTTGTAGGTTGGGACGAAATCACGACTATATTATAAAGTTGGAGAACAATCGTGCAATTTTTGTATCGAAATTTTCTAGCTTTTGTTCTCATTCATTGATGTCCATTTATGTGAAATAGAATCATTCTTAAGTTAAAAGTTAGTGTCCCGTGTTATTTAATCCACCTCACATAATAGTGCAACTACTTAATCTCATCGTTATGTTGCAGGATTCGGTGTTGTAAATCGAGGGTGCTGTGGAATAGGGAGAAACAGCGGGCAGATAACTTGTCTTCCATTTCAAATGCCATGTCTAGACAGGAACAGGTACATATTCTGGGATGCATTTCACCCAACAGCAGCAGTAAATATCTTGTTTGGGAGGAATGCTTTCAATGGAAACCAGAATATGGTCTATCCCATTAACATAGAGCAACTTGCCAAACTATGATTTTCCAGCCAAACATGCCACTAAACCTTGCATTTTTCTCAAGTCTGCTAGAAAATGTTTTCCTTCTTACGTTTGAATGCGTAAAACTCGTTGAAGTGTCTGTTTTGTTACTGGTGAGATTGTAGGAATTTTTATCAAGGAATATTAATTATTTGATGTTTGACTCTACGTGCATGTTTTGTTGGTGATTTGAACTCTCCATGGATTCTTAATATATCGCCAGACAAGAGTTAAAGCTCGTAATTATGTAATTTTTAGTCGAAACTTTGGGAAGTTATTTCTTGTGTGATTGAAATTAATTATTGACTTGAATTTATAAATTGATTATCAAACAGACACTAAAACTCATGCCAAGCGAAATTGGACAGTTGCCCTATGATACCGAGGCGCAGTCCTTTCCAATCACTAAGAAAAAATCAATACTGATTCCCCCATTGAACGCTAGCTGATTGGTTCTATTGCAAAAATCTGTCCTACAATTGACTTTAAAACATCACCGTAGGGCCGTGAATTCAACCTTTGAAACTCCTTTTCACTGTGAATCACGGGCGAAAAATAGAAATATATAGTGCTGATGACTCATAGCGCTTAAGATTTTAATTTTTTGTATTTTTCATGACTTTAGGATCCATTTAGTTAAATGTTTAATGGGAAGTTTAAATGCATACGTAATTCTACTCTATTTATTTGGAAAGAAATTTCTACGATAATTATTAGTTATTTATTGGAATGGAGACTTACAGTCCGTACTGTTCAATCCATTATATCAAACATTTCCGAGCACGTCTTTTACCTCCTACGTCATTAGTAGAGATACAAAACGCTCAAGAAGCATCATGCATGGAATCTCCAGCTAGATAATTATTTTAATTCCATGAAAATAATCTTAATAAGAACAAAACAACTAAAATAAAAAAGAACAGAAAACCTAAATTAGTGTAACTTAATGATTGAAAATAAGCAATTCTTTGTGGCATTTTAACTTATAATTAGTCATCATGAGAAGGGATATTAGAGCATAGCTAATTGGTCTATATTAATGGGATAAGCATATGACTTGGATTTTGAACTGTACGATTTCTTGGCGAGCAATATATTTTCAACTCCACAACATCCCTTGTCCACCTCTTCAAATCCTGCATGTTTTTACATGAAATAAACTGGTCAATTCTTGAAGAAAAAGTTGAAGCATAACTTGGAAGAAGTAAGGTAAGTATGGCGATTGAGTTGCCCCATAAAAGTAAGGGGCTTTGGCATGGATCTCTACTAGTTTATTAAAGGAAAACAAGAAATTACAGAATACTTCAGAGGGAATGTCGAGTGTCAGACAAAACCGAAGTACGAATTAACACAAACGAAGAAAATGCAAGACTATGACATCTACTCAATTTCTAGTAACGAAGTTATAACGAGGGAAATTTAATTCAATCTTATCCATCTTGAAAGTTATGAGTTTGACCCCAACTAACACCTAGAGGGGGTGAATAGGTATTTGTATGCGGAATTTAAATTTGTTAATTAATAATGATAAGAGTGTATTTTACACGTCTATATTGATCCATAAGCATGAATATCTGTCGGTTGATGCGTGAAACATAGCTTAATTCGTTATAAATTGTGTTTCCAGGTCAATAGTGGTGAATGTGTGGAAAGTGAAAGAAAAATAGAGAAAAGTGGCCAAAATGAAGAATATCAAAGTTTGTGGACTGAGTTGCAAATATTCAAAAGATGAACCGGAAGAGAAAGTGAAGAAGTGAAGAGGACACGATCAAATTGAGCATGTGACCTTTGCATTGGAACAAGAAAATTTGAAAAAAGGTCGAGAAATGGAGGAAACAAAGTGCAAGGACTAAACCGCAAAAGATAAGAAAATCCTATCTCTATGCGGTCGCATAGCATGCAATGCTATGCGGTCGCATAGAGCCTTGCAGGGAATTCCAGTGTGGAATCTGGGTGTTCTATGCGACCGCGGAAAATTTGGCAACAATCTGAGTTTCCTAAATTTTTTCGAACTCTTATGGAAACATGATTTTGGACTCCTCTATAACCCGGAATGACGTCGAGAATTAGGGTTAGGTAGTTTTTGAGAGAAAACAACGAATTTCAAGAGCAAGGAAGATGCTAGGGCGAAGATTTCGATATCAAGATCCAAGATTTCAAGCTATAATCCAAGAATTGGGTGAAGTCATCCCCAAAATAATTTCTTTGCTATTTTATTTTATCCATGCTAGGCTAGGTTTTTATTATACTAGGTGA